GTAATCACAATCCAAATCATCAGACCTACAAATTCAAAAGTTACTCTGTCCTGGACATTGAGTTCTACCTGGATTCTATCCTCTTGGGAATTTTTTCACACACACACAGATATATATATATATATATATATATATATATATATATATATATATATATATATTCTCACTTGAAATTTAGAGCTAGTCGCAACACTAAAGTTGCGACTCGCACTTTCCGAGATTGTACAACCATCATTAAATAGCAAATTCTTAAAAAAACATTTTTCGGTCTACAAACAATTATTTCGTCTTCAAGTTTTCACTTTAAAGGAAAAAAAATTACAGCCTGATGATGGAGACAGGGATCTTCGAAAGTACTTGCTTAACTTGAAAAAATATACACAAGAAACATCTGACAACAGTTTTATAAATGAGGATCACATCATTCAATGGATTAACAGTATTTTAATGCATACATTATGTTTCTACTAGCGAAGTGATTTCGCCATTAATCGCATTAATATTGCAGATTGATTCTATGTATGATTATTTCTTTATATATAAATATACATACACATATATATATAAATACATATATATATCTACGTATCTATATACATATATATACATATACATATATTCATAACGTAGACCGGTTTAACAGGTGTAATATTGGAGGAATCGGACTTTCCTCATACAGTCTCAGTTACTCTGATATTGACCACTTTTACCCATAAATATAGCAAACCAGGAAACTATAGTTTATTATATATATATATATATATATATATATATGGGGAAAACGATATGTAAATTTTTATATATCAACAAGAATGTTAAATAAATCTGTGACAAAGTATAAAAAGTTTTCGTATGGCATGATTCATGCTTTAATCCGATGAAGTACTAAATTTTTTCCAAATTTCCCTAAAATTGTTATTGATATGTAAAAATATTATATATGATATGTAAAATATTCCATACACACACACACACACACACACACACACACACATATATATATATATATATATATACCGGTGTAACAGCAAAATTGTACAAATCCTGTAACAACATGGTCATGTCTGGAGAATGTCTGATGACAGGATACCCAAGATCCTAATGTACAGCCAGTTAGATCAGGGCTACAGGAATGTAGGACGCCCATGGCTAAGATACAAAGACAAGCTGAAAAGCAACTTGTCAGCTGTCAATATACCTCGTAATACTCTCGAGCGCTTAGCCTTGGAGCCAGTAGAGTGGAGATCAACGTGTTTTAGTAAACTCAGAAGTTTTCAATCTGCTAGTCTGAATCTTCAAGAACCGAGAGCAAGATTTAAAAGGTCAGACAATCTAACATTGATCTCATCCCAAAATCTTCATTCTTGCTCCATATGTGGTCTCCTTTATAAATCACTTGCTGGTCTTAAATGCCACTTAAGATTATGACATAAAATTTCATAACTGAATCAGTTTGTTAAGTTGTCAAGTCCTCATACGTCGAAACAGACAGGAAAGTCTATTATTATATATATATAAGGTAGATAATAATTATAAATAATTAATTTTATCTTCTATAAACAAAGTATATTAATTTTTAAAGAATTTCATAAATTAGGAATCTAAAATATGTCTCCCTAATATTATCACTACTACAAACGGTGTTATGTAAAAATTTCCCCAACTCAACATGTGCACAACCACTATAGATAAATGAAAATGCTTATTACTGCATACACACACACACACACGCGCGAATATAGACTCCTGAATCTCACGTAGACAAACGAGAATGGAGATACGCTTACACACAAACGCTGCTTGACAAGTCTGCTTGACCAATGAAATAAAAACTACACAAAAATTTAAAATAACAGATTTTTCCCTATTTTTCCATCTTATTCACCGATGAAGCTTTAATTTTCTTATAAAAAAAATTGGAAGTCACTCTCTACCTCTCTCCATCACTAAGAAGTAGTCAGTAAAAGTTCTCTTCTCAAGGCAATAAAAGCACTCAATATAGACTGTATGCATTGTGCTATTTAACACGACGAAAGAAAAAGAAAAAAATTCTGCTGGTGAAAAGACTTTTAATTCTAAGCAAGTAATAGAGACAGTCCAACATTGGTAATTGGCCTCAAGACAACAAAATTTGGTTCTACAGGATACTGAGAATTTTTAAACTTTTTCCACCTGTTAGATATTTAAATTTAACTTTAAATGAGTTATTTAATTCTTAATCGCGAGTACATCCGGTAGTTACTTCAGTTTTTTTATGATTTGCCGAGATTGAAAAACAAACAGACAGACAGACGAACACACGTACACAAGCAATACAAATTTTAAAGAGAATGGCAACAGAAAAAAAACATTTACACTTAGAATCAGAAAGAGACAAATGAAATTTCTTGGACAATCTCACTGGACACTGCGGTCAACGTTGAACTAGCAGTAGTTTGCCGTTCTAATAAATGACTGGAAGCTAAAAGCCACATTTTGAGCATATCTTGTGATTGTAGAGTCCAAAGATAACTTGTATTAATCTCATGATGTCTGAATAAATTCAGTATTACAGTATTTATGAAAGTTTTTATTTTCCTGAAGTGTTTATACATTATTGGACAGACTCTCTCTCTCTCTCTCTATATATATATATATATATATATATGAGGTATTATGTACATTATTCGGACTATTGTCCACCATCTTTGTCACCATATTTATCACAACATTTCGGCCTTTGTACGCTCCGACCTTCTTCCGGTGGTTGGAATGTCGAATTGAATCCTTTATTTCGCTCACTGGGGTAGACTGTTCTAGTTCCACGTGCCATGTTTGATGGATGTCAGTTATCTCCTGTTAATTTCCCTCTGAAAGTTCTCCACTGCCTTAACCGAGTATTGAACTCACACACTTTGGGTCCAGTCACTGGATCTAACCAATGCCTTTATCCACTGTGCCATGTGTCCAAGTCGTCGTGACCGAGGGTTTGAATGCGCTGCCGTTGTTCAAATTGTTGATCCGGGTAGATAACACGCTCTCTCCCAGAAACTGTAACTAAGGTCTGCTCAGCATAGTTGCAGTATAAACCACAGGTGGGATCTCTGGGTGCTGAACAAACACAAATGTGCCTGAGCAAGCGTCTGAATTAGGGATTGGCTAACCACCCTTGTAGACTGGTATACTCAAATACGAGTGGCCAGCTATCATATATATATATATATATATATATATGTGTGTGTGTATGCACACACATAAAACTAACCAAGAATCTTAAATCACAAATTTTCTTAACTTAGGCCGTAAAAAGCCACACACACCTCTTCAGGAGATATGTGATCATGGCTTTCCACAAATTACATTCCTTCATTATTGGTGAATTACTATGACTTCTGAGGAAAGACGGCTTTGAAGTTTACGATTGTCGTCTTTATGGTTTGGAATTCAATTTTCTTTCGCTTAGCCTGATTGTTACCCAATGCTAGACAACCCATTCTCCCCTCCTTTTGAGAGAAGAAATGGATTCATGCCTTTCCCTATAGCATCAGTGCGAAAGTGAATCCAACAGCTCCAGGTAGGATTTGAACATGGCTTGCTGATTCCACTTTCAGCACCAATAACTGTTACACTACTCGCACATCCAAGTAAATAACAAAGACACAGGTGGGCAATTTTACGTCTCATATTTCATTTAAGTTCAGCCATGGTGAAATATTCCCCTTGACAATGTAAACAAGGCTCACGATACAGCTGCTTTTGATTGCATGTGAAGAAGCAAGGAATAATTCATTTCAGATTTCTCAGGCTAGACAAATGAGTTCACTACATTTTCTGGCATCTTTCTGGTGATTGGTTGGTTGTCTCTTCATCTTGAACGGATACTCACCCTGCCTTGAAATTTATGTCAAACTGAAATAACCCAGGCTCAACTTAAAGAATCCTTACGAGAGTATTGAGAGCAGATTTGTTAAGTTTCATTCCAAATTCAATGTTGACATGAAGATCGCAGAGCCGTTTCAGCACAACCTTACAAAATTTTTCGTAATAACTTAAGTAGATAACATAAAACCTAAAGATGTGTATACCTCACCAATGAATAGTGTAAATATAGTATGTATAGTTCATGACATTTCCGATAACAACATGTACAAGCCATTATAGATACAGCTTTTTTCATCTGATTTTTCATCCATGTTATATTGTTTGTTTACTAGTAGGTTTAACTTACTGGTTGGTTTTCATGGCCTAATTGGTAAGGCAGTGTCCACGTAAGATGGGCTCCTAAGAATACAAGTTCAAATATGATTGTCTGATACTTAATTTCTAATTTTTCTTGCTTACATAATGGTTAGAGCATATAAAAACGACCTCAAGTTTGGGTTAAGAATAGAAAAAGGAAAAAAAATGGTTAAAAAATATTTGTGGGAAGAGAAAACTTTCATTCTGCTTAATGCTAATTACAGTTTCTGAGAGAGAGCATGTTGTCTAGTGTGATCAACAATCTGAACAAGGCCAGCACACTCAAACCCTCGGTCAAGATGACTTGTGACTTTGTGCTCGCACAGTTATCAACGGTCCCCAAAGTGTTCTGTCTACCCAATTTCACTCACAAGTCTTGGGTCAGGCTGTGGTATGATTTCAGGCACTTTCCCAAGGTGCCGCACGCTGGGAATTCCAATTAGTTATCTGGACTAATCTTTCAGATGAAGAAGAGACTTGATGCAACAGAAATATAGTCCTATAGAAGGATGCTGATAATACCATGGACTGTGCATGTGAGCAACAACAAAGTTTTTTTTTTAAAACAAATAAACATTGCCAAAGAATGTAGTTAAAATAATAGTGGCATCAAGGGAATAACTGTCCTTTTGAGACATTGTTTTTTTGTGTTTTTTTTTTGTAGGCACGAAAGTTAAAGATTGCTGAAATGTGTTTAAATATAAATAGAATACTGCCTTTTTTCAGAAAATAACAAACAAAGAAGGTAAAATATTAAAATTCTCTTTAATAAATATTTAAATCTAAGGACTGTCCCTGATTTTTTCCAATTCCTCTACCCAAGACTGCACTTGAGACGTTTTGAACAAACCTGTCAAAAGAAAAAGTGAATTTATGAGTCAAAGTAGAAACAATGTGTAGAAGTCAAGTGACTTACCTGCCAACATGGCTGCCTTCTTCTGTTTCCTTGTAAAGCAAGCCAGCTGATTTTACCTCATTTTATAGTAGAGACGCTTCCCAACCATCAATATAGAATTAGAGTTGCAGGATCAGGCAGAATAACCCTGCGGAACCGTAGGTTCCTAAGGAAACTTGAAGCGCCCATAATCAAGACCCCCATACCAAGCACCATGCCTGTGTCACCTGAGCCAACGATTACAGATATGTATAGACCACATCAATCTGCCAAAGAGTTGGGAAATGGTGACATTACATTAAGAAATGACCTAGCGTCCCAGGGCCCTACTCAATCACAGCCATCAAGAACCAGGATTCCCAGGGCGCTATCCCGACTACTCCCGTACAATTGGCCAGGCAATAGGGAACTAATTCCTCCCCAACGGCCAATATGCTTCCGCAATGGGGAAAGGAGGGAGATGTAGAAGTCAAGTGACTTACCTGCCAACATGGCTGCCTTTTTCCTTGTAAAGCAAGCCAGCTGATTTTACCTCATTTTATAGGAGAGTGCCTAATACACCAGTTAGGTTGGTCCATTTTGCTCGAATGGACCTGCCCAATACATTTGCATGAGTGGTCTTTATTCACCCATATATTTCTCCATAGAATGACTCAAGTCAGTTTTAGCTTTGGCTACACTTGCCTACTTGTGTGTTAGACCACTGCAAGCTAACCAATATTCTACACAATGCTGAAAAAGTAAAGTTTTTTTTAAATTCATTTGCTGCTAAAAATCCCAGATGACACACATAACCTTTATGATTTGCAGGTTTCGCTCGGTATATGAAAGTACAATGCTTCTATAAAATTTCTTGAAAGTTGGAAGCAGTGATAACCAAGCCAGGAGACCTGTGTCTGAAGTGGCACACAAGATGATTTGATGTTGTGCATTACAACCCAGTGACATTTGCTAATCAGTTTATAGTTGATGTACTAATCCGACAGAGTTTCATTTTATTTAATCTTGGTGGCAATTTGCGGTCTAGTTCTTTTTTAACACCCCCCTCACTTTTTTAATTTAATTATGCATCATGAAACAAGATTGGTATGATGATAAACTACATCTGGCAGCAAGGCAACTGATCAGGAGACTGGAGGTTTTGAGGAGCATGGAACCACCTCTTAATTTCTGTTGCTTCCTGGTCCACCCTGACACTGGGTGGTAGCACCTGTTAGGGTCTCAGCTATGGGCAAATAATAAACTCCCAAAACAAAAGTCAACACTATATTTTTATAGTAAAATGAGAATACAACACTAAAAAAAGTATAAAAAAACATCTTATCTTATCTTACTTATTATAAAACGCAGATTGTGTGTGTGTGTGTGTGTGTGTGTGTGTGTGTGTCTGTACGTTTATATATTGGATCAGATTTCTTACATTTTTCAATCGATTTCAACAAAACTTCACAGGACTGCATAAAATTACCTTGCGGTGGATCTGACAGCACCAAAATTGGAAAAACACAACTGTTTTTGCACAAAATCAATTTGAAAACACGATTCTGTTGCCAGAATGAAAGGGGGACAACTCATATCGAGTTATACTTATTATAAAACCCAGGTTGTTTGTGTGTGTGTGTTCGTTTATATATGGGATCGGATTTCCTACATTTTTCAACCGATTTCAACAAAACTTCATTTTTTTTTTTGGCAAGAAGTTTTTTTCTTTATTTTTACATTCAGAATGCTTTAAAAATTCCTTTTACAAGACAATTGTTTATAATAAAATTCTATTCAATCGATAGACTCATAACGACTGAAAACAATGTTTTTGTTTGAGTTTGGGTTTGACCAATTCGTAAAAAAACCCAAAAAAAAAAAAAAAAAAAAAACAACAACTAATTAAGACATGCGTGTCCATCAACCTTAAACAATAATCTTTGTCAATTTTATTTTTCAGTCTTTATGATGGTCGATACTTGATCTATCTCTTACTGTTACATCCCCGGGCAACGCTGGGCTCTCCTGCTAGTTTTATAATAAAATTACTAGCAATACATTTTTGCAGTGAAGTTAATAGTAACACATTAAAAAAATATCAACAATACATTTTATGATCTATAAGCTATATAGCTCTTGTAGCATACCTATTGACGATAATGGGTATGTCGCCATTCACATAAATACAGTATTAAATACTGTACGTTGCCTGCAGTTGGAGATTTGTCTCCAGCTTTGATGGTCAAACTCTCTGCAGAGAGGATCCCCAGATGAGGCTATGTTGAAAGCAGAGTCTCATATCGGAAAACAGCTCCCCAACCCAGTTTTATATAGGGTCTACAGGGAATTCTTGCCCAAGCCTATGGGCTTGGATACCCCACATTAAATTTAGCCTTGTGCTACATCTGACTGCTTGGGGAGGTTGGTAGATATCTTGTAGTTGAAGATTCGTCTCCAGCTGTGTTGGTCAAACTCTCTGCCTCTGGACAGAGAGGATCCCCAGAGGAGGCTATGTTGAAGAGCAGAGTCTTGTCTCAGGAAACAGCTATCTGACCCTGTTTTATACAGGGTCTACTGGGATTTTTTGGCCTAAATTATGTACTCAGACACCCCACATTAAATTCGGTCTTGTGCCACATCTGACCGCATGGGGTGGTCGGTAGATATCCCGCAGTTGGAGATTCATCATGGAATTCACTTGACTCACTTCTAGCAGTTGACTACTACTTCTACACACTGTTGACGAATCTTATATGTGTTGTTCTTGTCCTAAGTATTATTGTTCAGAACCAACCTACACTTGATTATTCTATTTCAGTAACCTTCCATAAGGTGCAACAATTGGTCAATTACATGTTTACCTGAAAGTATGAAATGATGTACAAAATATTGGTAGTTGAAAGCATAAAATTACTTTGAAACTTTTGACATTAAATGACCTATAGAGGTTGATATACCACTAAACAAAATCAGCCGAAACAAGAGGAAAGCAGAAACTGATGGTAATGTAAATTCACTGAAAAATAGGCTTAATAAAAAGACCATATAGCATCATTAGACGTTTCCTTATAACGGAATATTTGGCATTTATCGACTGAATCACCAGAGCAACTTTATAAAATTAAATTTTATAAAAATTAAATTTATAAAACCATTCTACATTGTTCAGACTATCGTTCTCATCTATGTTGCCATATTTAACACAATGTCTTGGCTGCTGGACACTCTGGCCATATTCAGGTGGTTGGAACGTCGAAGTGAACCCTTTATTTTGCTCACTGGGTTAGACTGTCCTAGTTCCACGTGCCATGTCTAATGGATGTCAGTTATCAGTTATCTCCTGTTAATTCACCTCTCCAAGGTTCTCTACCACCTTAACCAGGTATTGAAATCACACTCTTTGGGTCCTGTCACTGGATCTAACTAATGCCTTTATGCCATGTATCCTGTAGAAGGCCAGAGTGTACAACAACTGAAACACTGTGATAATTATGGCAACAAAGATGAGGACAATTGTCCAAAAAATGTAAATAATATACTTAATACTTCATCTCAGAAATATAGACAGATACTAAAATCTTTCTCTTAATATGCTGACTGCTAGAGGTCAGTTACAAAGTCAGTGTTCAAATGCCAATGTTATAATAACCAACTTAGGCCATAAAAAAAAATTATGAATTGATTTATAGCATAAACCGAAATTTTGCCACTAAAGGCATCACCACAAATAAACTCATTGGCGCCTGCAAATGATTGATTGATTTAATGGCACATCACCTTTTTATGGGTCATTTAATGCCGAAATTTAATTTTCTTGGGAGCTTTGAAATAATTAAAATATGATATATGTCATTCTGCTTTCACAGTTGAATACATGGTAGATGATGCTCAGCTTTTGTGCATATACATGCTTGTGCAGATGTAATTATTAGAGGTAGTGTTAAGTGTGTTTTATGCAGTAGTTTTGTTCAAGTTATTTAATTTAATGTCTACACATAACGTCTCTCTCTGTTTTTGTTTTGTTTGCTTCTATAATGGCACATCAAATCCTCATGGGCCATTTGATACTGAAATTATAATTTTTAGGAGCTTTTAAGTAAATATATGTTATTCTGCTTTCACAGTTGAATACATGGTAGATGATACTCAGCTTTTGTGCATATACATGTTTGTATGGACATATTTACTTGAGGTGGTGATAGGTATTTTATGTTGTACAATATTGTACATTTGGGAATACAGGTGTATTTCTTTAAAAAAAATTGTAAGATATTATATAGACTAATGTCATGAAAGAGTTCTTTCATGTTGGTTGTTTGATTTTGTTTGGCAGTATATCAACACCTCTATGGGTTATTTAATGCCAAAATCTAAATATTTTTGTCATTTTATGCTTTCAACTAGAGGTATTTTGTAGATAATTTTATATTTTAAATATATATTTTGTAGACCATAAAATGTATTTTTTTGACATTATTTGGACTATTGTCCTCATCTTTGTTGCCATATTTATCACAACGTTCCAGCCGTTGTATGCTCCGGCCTTCTTCAGGTGGTTGGAATGTTGAACTGAACCCTTTATTCTGCTCACTGGGGTAGACTGTTCTAATTCCACGTGCCATGTTTAATGGATGTCAGTTATCTCCTGTTAATTTTCCCTCTGAAAGTTCTCCACTGCCTTAACCGGGTATTGAACTCACAGTCTTTGGGTCTTGTCACTGAATCTAACTAACGCCTTTATCCTCAAGGACACATGGCACAGTGGATAAAGGTGTTGGTTAGATTAAAACACCAGCAATTATGAGGTGGTTCCACACTCCTCAAAACCTCCTTATCAGAGGCCTTGCTGTTGGACATAGTTTATCATCTTACCCTGGACGTGGATGTAGTTTATCGTCATACCCAGGACAGGGAAACACATGTTTATCTCTCAGCACATACACCTGCCCGCAACAATATGACAATTACTACGTACCTCTTGTACTGTCAAAGAATTCTTGAAGATATTTGGGTTTTTTATCCAACTGTTCGTATTCGTAAGCTTGCATAATCATTTCAAATTTATCTAAGTCTTTGACAAATTCAGCTTCCTTGCTCGTTTGAAGCTCGTATTCCTGGAAAGAAAAAGAAAAAGGAATGACATTGCATTGAATTATTGTTATCTACGTTAGAGACAGCTTATGGACTCTCCACAACTGCCACACTCAATCCGGAATTGCTTCCCTTGAGGCATACTACACATTATGGGTGCTCCTTTTGTCTGAGTATAAAAGAGTGAACAATTTTTATAGGGCCAGTTGGGACAAGGTGTGTAATTTTCACTTCACAAAGTAGATTAATAATCAAAAAGCTTAATCCCAAGAGATAATCCATATAATACTGATTTATTTTCTACAAGTTTCTAATAAGTTTATAGAAAAGCAGATATACATTTATAGAAAAAAACCTAATAATTATAAGTTTTTTAAAAAAAATGATATCATAGGTTCATAGGAAAAACTAATTATAGGGGTATAAATTATAGGTTTCAAAAAGATTTGCTACTTCTTATTATTCCATTATCTTTCTCACCTAGCTCTGAGAACTTCATTTCTTGCCCTTTGTTATGGTCATACAACACAGCATATTAATCCTCTACCTAGATTGGCTCTTGGGCCTTGTATTGGGGGAACATAAAAAAAAAGAATATTGTTTTCATCATTTAAAACCACTGGCAATTTTCACTAACGAAGATATCTGGAAGAAAAATACTGTTTTTTGGGGTTTTTTTTTTTTTCAAATGAGAATATTATAACAAGACTTTTTTTCTTTTTTTTTTTTACCATAATTTCTCAAAAATAGGTGTTTTATTGTATTGTATTTATAGTCCTGAGAGCGTCGCCTAGGAGCAGTTTCGAAAATTAGGAGGTGGTAACCAGACAGTATTTTCTCAAACTCTCAATGATTTTTTTTTTTACTTTTCAAAATTATTTTGCATTATAAAGCAATTTTTTTTTTTTTTTTTTTTTTTTACAAAGCACTGTCATTGATACCTACTTGTAGGTCCCTAATAGACGAGGCATGATTCCAGTCATTTTAATTTTTGGAGGTGCATTTCTAAAAAAAAAATCTACTATTATAGGTTTCTGAAAAAATATAGTATTAATTATAGATTTATAAAAATTCGGTTTGAATTCTGCCATTTTCAACCTATAAAAGTGATTAATGTCCACTGTTCCATTTTTGCGATGGCGGACATTAATGGGCCACATCAGATATGGCGGCCAAAAGCGGGCAGCACTACTAAAAAGATTCAAGGTAAACTTTTGTTGAAGGTGCCTCAGCCATTTTCATTAGAGAAGACCATATTCCTAATCATGTGCCTTAGCAATGGAGGAAAGGTCAATTGTTTTTTGAAGAAAAGATTTTCAATGATTACTGTAATTTCTCGAAAATAATACACATTTCTTTACTGCAAATTACAGGTGACAGTAGGGGCACATATTATAAATAGGTTTAAATAGAAATATTTTTTCGTTATTGATTTATAATAATAAATACGTACTTTTTATTCTAAAATAAGAAAGATATTATCCCAATTTTCATTTTTAAATCCAACAATAATAATTAGAACTTTTTTTGTCAATAAATTTATGTTTATCAGTAACTGCATTTTATATTTGGTGAAAAGATTAAAAAATCTATAAAAAGGCCAATTTCAAAGAAAAGAGGATATCAAGTTATGATTCTTCATATTTCTAGTTGTTTTTTTTTGGAACAGACTTCACCAATTTGAATTCCAGAGTTTGAAAACAAGGCACATCAAAAGTCAAGGGTGTTTGGTCAGCATTTCCAATACAGCCTAAAGGATAGTTGTGCTTTTATCTTAGCTGAATAATAAAACGCCGAAAATTCAAAAGCTTACCTTTGTAGTCATCAGGTAAACGATGGGCTATAGATGTTCTTCTAACAGATATATCAAATCTCTTCATAAAAAGAAAACATCAGTTTGCTGAAGCTTTAAATGTCTTTCCAGGATACATGGTTTTCATAAGTTCTTTTGCCTTCATCTTTATTTCCATGTTACTTTGGAGCATCCACTTGATTGTCTTTCTTTCATAAATTCAACTAAACTTTGTTCCATATTTGGATATCAAGCCTTTCTTTCTCTATCTATAGCTTTGGCACTTGATTTACACTTTTTTAGTTCATTTTTATTCTTTCTCCATAAACGTATGTTAGCCTCATACAACTCATATTCTCCAGCTGCAGCTCTGTTTCCTATTCTTTCTGCTAATTCTGTTACTTTTTGGTTAAAATTTGCACTATAACTCGCACGTTTTGACGACATTTTGGCGGTAAAATAACATGTTATATTTATTGGGAAAACCGCATGGTAATTTTCAACATTATTTTAACGGCTTAGTTTTGATTTTATTCTTAATGTCAAGGTCGACAAAACGTCTTCCTAATTACGTTTTTTTTTGACAAAATTTACAGATGCATATTATACATAGGGATAAATATATTTCTTAATTTTTGGATCATTTGTTGGGGTGTGTATTATTTTCAAGAAATTATGGTAAAAAAAAAAAAAAAAAAAAAAATTAAATCTTGGTATAATATTCTAATTTAAAAAAAAAAAAAAAAAAAAAAAAAAAAAAAGGAAACAGTATTTTTCGTCCAGAGGAAACCTTCCTTAGTGAAAATTACCATTGCTTTAAAATGATGAAAACGTTATTCCTTTTTTATGTTCCCCCAATACAAGTTTCAAGAGCCACTCAAGGTAGAGGATTAATATGTGGTGTTGTATGGCCATAACAAAGGGCAAGAAGTGAAGTTGTTGGGGCTATGCATTGTTTATGCATATAGATATATGCGAGAAAGTGTGAGTGAACAAGTGAGACCAAAAGAATTTTTTTTTAATAAACGTTATTTTTCTCATGAAATTAGGTGTACCATTCAGAAAGCCAAACGGGCCGCAGCTTGCCAATAATCAGGTTAAAGAGTACATTTTCAAATGAAAAACAAACTAAAAAACGCCAAATGATTATTTTTCTTATATATAAAATTTGTTTTTACCTCCCATAACTGGAAGAGCTCATTTCCGATACGATCTCCAACCAAACCACTGATATGCTTCATAGCCGTCTGGAAAATTAATTTTATTAATTGAAAGAAAAAGAAAAAAATACAAACATCAATTTTACAGTAAAGCAAAATAAATAAGGGTCAAAGGTGAGACAGCATTTGCATTTACTTTCATGCAAGTGACAATAGTAGTTGTTTGCTGATGTAGAAATATTTGGTAGTTATTGACTGAGCAGCCAGTTCTACTCAAGTTGCCCTTTTCATCACTCATTGGTCTAGGATCAAAGCGTAGTAACCGTTCTCTTCATCTCTAATGGTAATACTAACTGTTCTCTCATAAGGAAACATTTGGCAATCTTTGATTGATTAGCCAGTTCTATTTCAGTTGCTCTTTTCCTTACTCCCAGGTCATTGGCCTGGGATTAAAGTGTAGTAGCTGTTCTCTTCATCTCTAATGGCAATACTGTGCTCCCAAAAGGAAACATTTGGCAATTATTGAGTTAAATGTGCTAACCATTTGTTATGGAGTGTCAATTTTTTTTTTCTCTTCCACCATATGAATCCGAATACCTCGTTGCCAAGTGTGTCATGGTGAACAATTTCTTTTTTTCTTCCACCGAATGAATTCGAATCCCTCGTCGCCAAGTGTGTTATGTAGTGGTTTCACAGTGGTGGCTTGTATTTGTACTAAGTCGGTCCTAAGATAGGTTCGACGTACAAAACGTTAAGAACTTGATATAATAGGTAATGACGCAGAGTAATCTAGTTGTGGTTGCTGATACTTTAGTATTTGAGTAACGGTCATCCGGCACCGACTGACTGACCGACCCAACTGAGCGACTCAGCAACTGACTTGTTACTCTTACTACTCCTACTTATTATAGGTGGGAGAGTCTATTAACTATAGAATAGGTGTGTTCCACTATAACATCATTTTAGTTGCTGCTGCAAGTCCTCAAGTGATGTGGTTTCTGTTATTTGTTAAAGGCATGAGTCCATCACTCCTCTCACAAAGCAACACATTAAGCCAAGGAACTACTTCACTATCTTTTCCAACAAGGGATGGTAATGAAATGAAGGAAGGAACCCGTGGAGAGCAATAATCACTTACATCCTGAAGAGACACAGCATTTTTTTTTTTTAAATGGAGGTACCAGACTTTTACAGTTCCTGCTAAGGGAAATTAATTTTAGGAAAGTGATTTGCACATATCTACTAATTTATATCTCTCAATCACTGTAGCATACCAGTGGCAAAATTATTTTGCTGAGATTTAACAGGGTGAAAAGGGAAAAGCACTTTTAAGCCTTTTCCAAGAGGTCATATATACAGAGTGTAACAGCAAAATTGTCTAATTGTTAGATTAAGCTTTGAACCATTGTATCTCAGAAATGATTAAAGATATCTTACTGGAGTTCTCCAACGTTTTCATACAATTGGACTCTACTATGAGCAATAAGAATGTATAATTACTCTCCAAGCTTAACAGAAGAATCATGATGAAATCAATCATAAATGAAAATGACATGTTCATCACTAATTAATCATAGCTAAGGAAAGATTGAAATAAAATTTATATATATACATACATATATATATATATATATATATATATATATATATATATATATATATATATATATATATATATATATAATTCCAGGATCCTTTTCTAGTTTATCCATAATGATCTTTGCCCTCTCTAACCTTCTAAATTTCTGTCCTGGGGTAACAAGGTGCCTCACAGGTTTCATGTATGATTTCATTTTCAAGTCATTCTTCACTGCCCTTTGGAATGTCATAGCTGAAACTCCTCTCTCATATGTCAAACATCTTATGGATTGAGTTGGATCTTTTCTAATTGATTTCTTCAGCTCTAAGTTAAAATGATGACCCCTCTTGTTATGACCTCCTGATCCAGTTTTCCTCTCAATCCACTTTGACACAAAGGGAGGCGCTTCTGGCCAAGTCTGTGGGCTCAAATTCATGCAAATGGCCTCGTGAAACTAATTCACAGCCATCTCTCTACCAAGGCCACGATGAGAGAGAAAAGGAATTGAGAAAGAGGATGATGATCTCGATACCAGAAGCGAGCAGGTGCTGACAACAACAGAGTATAGATTGGTATAAGGATGGGACATGTGCTGTGGTATATTGGATATCAGCACAAAATTTCTTCCCCCCAGCTATGGGTTAAATAGTATGACAGACTTGGTCCTGTAGCCTTGGTTAGCAACCAGTCTACTGAAGAAAAAAGTGGCAACCTACTTCAGGAAAGTCTTCTGTCTATGCCGTTATGAATCGCACTAAGTGTTTATTATGTATGAAGTTAACAGACTGAATGATCCATGGGGCGTATAGCTTTGGTTGGCAATCGTTCTATCGCAGAAAGAAATGGCAACCTACTGTGGGAAACTCTTCTGCCTAGTCAGTATAAAGACAAGTGAAAGGAGAGGAGAAGAATAAGAGTAGGAAGATTGTGTTGCACCAATCCTTTGAAAATCAGCATTCAGATTCCAGGCATTTTTTTTTTTTTTAATGTTTTTTTTTTTTTTTTTTCATTTTTTAACTAGACATGGACGCTGAAAGTTAGCATCAATGGGATGGTATGTGAAAATTTAAGACCAATGTGTAAACCCCAAATATAAAAGGCTAGAAGGCAAGATACAAACCTCTTCTCTTCTGTGTTTCTCCTGCTTGCAGACGTTATCGGAAGGGGTCAAGTCCCCAACAATACTCTCAGCCATATCATGTACCAGAGCAAGTTTAATACACCTGGAGAACAAAAAAAAATGGAATTATGAAATCAACAGGTGAAATAATTTTTTTTTTCTTAGATAACAGGTCTGGAACATCATACTTATTATAAAACCCAGGTTGTGTGTGTGTGTGTGCGTGTGTGTGTCTGTACGTTTATATATTGGATCAGATTTCCTACATTTTTCAACTGATTTCAACAAAACTTCACAGGACTACATTAAAATTACCTTTATGGTTCTGACAGCACCAAAAATTGGAAAAACACAATTGTTTTTGCACAAAATCAATTTGAAAACACGATTAAGAGGCATCGCTGTCGAGAATGAAAGGGGGACAACTCATATCGAGTTATACTTATTATAAAACCCAGGTTGTTTGTGTGTGTTCGTTTATATATGGGATCGGATTTCCTACATTTTTCAACCGATTTCAACAAAACTTCATTTTTTTTTTTTGGCAAGTAGTGTTTTTTCTTTATTTTTACATTCAGAATACGTTAAAAATTCCATTTACAAGACAATTGTTTATAATAAAATTCTATTCAATCGGTAGACTCATAACGATTGAAAACAATGTTTTTGTTTGAGTTTGGGTTTGACCAATTCATAAAAAAAACAAAAAACAAAACAAAAACTAATTAAGACATGTGTGTCCGTCAACCTTAAACAATAATCTTTGTCAATTTTATTTTTCAGTCTTTATGATGGTCGATACTCTTACTGTTACATCCCTGGGCAACGCCGGGCTCTATTGCTAGTCATCAATACAGCAATGGCTTGAGTTGCACAAGTTTTAATAGGCATGGTGAAGTAATGGATAGCGGCTCGGATTGAGGAATTGGGGACCCGAGTTTGAATTTCAGTTGAATCCATTAAATTCACTTACGTGTTAATACCCTTAGGAAAAGTATGAATCCTCTTCTCCCACTAGGTATAGGTAAATAGCAGGACAGACTGGGTTCTATAGCCTTGGATGGCAACTGGTCTACTGCAAAAAAAAATATGGCAACGTACTGTATGGAAAAAAAATCTGCCACATCAGTTATGTATCGAAAGATTGGCTAAGCATGTATCACGCATGGCATATAATTGACTTTCTTCTTCATTTCAAGCAAACCAAAAAAAACATAACTAGTTTCTTTCTTTCTTTTCTCGTCTGCCTTCATTAGTTCAAAAAAATATTAGCACAAACAAAAAAAAAAAAAAAAAAGAAAAGAAAAGACAGGAGGCTGCGGAGAGTCATGATCGCCCACATCAAAGAGGGAGTTGGCATATAATAGAAGAATAGTTGTCAGCTATCATGAGATTTTAATAATATGCTTTATCTTGCGTTTGTTGCTTCAAAAGATCTTCATCTGGGTGGAATATGGTTATCACAACTTCATTAGTTTTTCAATGATCTTTTTGTTTATTTTTTACCGTTATTCTTCCAGTTGAAGATTTATGAACAAAGTTTGCTTGGCTGATTTTGTTCAGCAGTATATCAACATCTCTATGGGTTATTTAATGCCGAAATTTAAATATTTCAAACACCATTTTATGGCTTCTACTAAATATATTTTGAATGCAATTGTATGCTTTCAACAACAGATAAAATGCATTGGTCATTTTGTTTTAAAATGTATTGTTGCTAATTTTACCATAAAACAGCTACTGTTGCTAATTTTACCATAAAACAGCTACTGTTGCTAATTTTACCATTAATAGCTATTGTTGCTAATTTTACCATAAACAGCTATTGTTGCTAATTTTACCATTAATAGCTATTGTTGCTAATTTTACCATTAATAGCTATTGTTGCTAATTTTACTATTAAAAATAGCTATTGTTGCTAATTTTTTAATACAAGTAGGTAGTGTTGCTAATTTTTTTTATATAAAAATCTATTGCTGGTATTTTTATACTTTCATAGTGTTTTGTTTTTGTTTGGTTGTTCACTATTTGCTCATAGCTGGGACCCGAAGAGGTGCTACCACCCCAAGTCAGGGTGAACCTGGAAAGAACAGCAACTAAGAGGTGGTTCCACACTCCTCAAAACCTCCAATTTCCCAATCAGAGGCCTTGCTGCCAGATGTAGTTTATCGTCATACCCAGGACTAGAACAAACAACATCATTAAGTGGTGCAAGCCATGGTTGCCATAACATGGATTACAAACAAATCCATTAATTCTTTAGAAATTGCTTTGTTTACATTTCATATACAAATTCAAGAGTTCTTTTCTTGTCAGAACCTGCAGAGTGAGTTTTCCGAGTTGCCGTACCCTTTGTAATCATCATTAAACTTATTCAAATCTTTCCAAATCCACTGCACTGTCCTCAGCTTCTGGTACAAATATCAAGCAGTACAGTATGCCGTTTCCAAATTTTTGGCAGAGTGAATTGCATCATGGTGCTCTTTTTCTCACAGATGGTGGCCAATTGACCCTACATTACTGTGCAGTTGACAAAATCTAAAACAATGTGCATGTGTGAAATTAAATGTATAAAAATGGCGACAATTTACCCCTGGCACCCTGTATGTTCTGTCTAACTTTAGGGGTCTGTAGCTGAATAGGTTATGGTGCTGTCACTGAAAGACAAGCTCCTGAGATATAAGGTGCGATTTCAGGCTTCAGTGGGAGCTAATACTTTATTTTGATTTCTGGTTACTTTAATGGTCAGAGGATTTCTGGATAAAGAAAAACGGTCTGGAAAAGGCAATAAGAGAATAAAATACAAAAAAAAAAAAACATAAGCAACTGTGAAAAATTAATAAATGAGAAGCAATCTCAGTAAATGGTCATACTGACCAATAACATTGCAGATTCTTGTTTGGATTTTATCTAGAATCCCTAAATTCATGACAGAAGCACCAGACCAGATATAACAGCAATATTCAATGCATGGGCTAATAATGGTCGGCTTATAGATGTCTAAGACAGATTCTGGAAAGAAAAATAATCTAGCATCTATCTGACACATTTCTAAGTTACAGTTCACCTCTTACAGTGATTTATTTTATTTTTATTTATTTTATTTGTTTTATTTTACTGTTATTTTTTTGTTAGTGATTTATTTTACTGAGTTCACCTCTTTACTTACAGTGATTTATTTTCCTTTTATTTATTTTATTTTTATTTTTTTAGTGATTTATTTTATTTTTATTTTACTGTTTTATTTTTTTAGTGATTTATTTTATTTTTATTTTACTGTTTTATTTTTTAGTGATTTATTTTACTAAGTTCACCTCATTACGTACTGTGATTTATTTTTATTTTACTTTACTTTCAGTCAGTTATGTGCCATGCGTGATACACGCTTAAGTGATCATGTATCATTTGATACATGACTGACGAGGCAGATTTTCTCCCACAGTAGGTTGTCATTTCTTTCTGCGGTAGACCAGTTGTCATCCAAGGCTATAGAATCTGATCTGTCCTGCTTTTTACCTATATTCGAGGGGAGAAGGGGATTCATACCTTTTTCAAGGGTATTAGTACGTAAGTGAATGTAATGGATTCGACTGGAATTCGAACTGGGCTGTTTTATTTTTATTTAGTCATTTATCTTACTAAATTACCTCTTTATTTACAGTGATTTATTTCATTCTCCTTGCACTTCCCCCACCCTGATGTCTGCCTTTTTTCGTTTTAAATATTTACAGCTGTATATAGTCATATACAATTTTAATATGTCCATTTTCATAACAGTAATGGTTAGAAGGATCTCGACATCCCTGGGAGACAATCCATCTAGAGCAGTGTTTGCCAAACTTTTTTTTCTCTAGGCTGCATTTTTGGAATTAAAATTTTCTCTTGCATCACTAAATTCTATGTGATACATTTAAAAATAAAACAGTGAGAGGGTAAAAGGGAGATAACCGCAAATTTGAAGTCAGAACATTATCATTGATAACTCTCTCCTCCAATTTGCAGACCCTCAAATTCTTAATACTTGATATAATGCAAAAATATCACCATGATGAAATCGATCAATAATTATTTATAACTATTTATACTGGGACTCATGCATGCAATTATAAATAATCCATAATAATATTTTAAATTTTTAAATCATATTTATTTTTGGCATAAGAATTTTTGGAAACTTTTTCTAAATCTTTGATTGTCTTTCAGTCATTCTGAATCACCTGTTATCCTCTTCCACCATATCTATGAGGCATGCCACACCTTTGGGAACCACTTATCTAGACAAAGGAAAACCCTGACTTTAAACCCCTGCTGTCTTATGGTTATATCAAAAATACAGAAAAATAATATATACCCTGAAAGGGTATCTTATCTATATAAAACTACCTTCAGGGTATATGTATAAGCTGTGTTATGAAATGTAAAAGGGTATCGTGTTTATGTTTGGGTTGCATTCCCAAGTTGCCCCATTTTATAGATGCTATGTGTAGAAGTCAAGTGACTTACCTGCCAACATGGCTGCCTTCTTCTGTTTCTCGTAAAGCAAGCCAGCTAATTTTACCTCATTTTATAGGAGAGTGCCTAATACACCAGTTAGGTTGGTCCATTACATTTGCATGAGTGGTCTTTATTCACCCATATATTTCTCTATGAAATGACTCAAGAGTTATTAGCTTTGGCTATACTTGCCTACTTGTGTGTTAGACCACTGGCGAGCTAACCAATATTCTACACTATGTACAAATTAAATACCCTGTATCCCAAAATCCCCCAAAATTTGAAAACTGAAGCACTTCCAGTTCCAAGAATTTCGGATAAAGGATTCTATACCTGAATATATATATATTTATATATATGTATATTTATATATATGAAAAGCTGGTGATAGTAAATCAAAAGGCTGTTTCGTTCCATTGTATGGTCGGGGACCCAGACAAAATTCAGCCTTATTATCGCCTTACCTTTCTCGGTCTAAGCCAGCTGATGGCTCTGCAAGGAATGCGAGTAATGACATTCTGTACATATGGTCAGATACACTCTCGGGGTTGCTAACATTTCTTTTAACCCAACCAGTACGACGAACACGCTGCAGGAACAAAAAGGAAAAAGAAATTCAAATTAAAGAAAAATAAAAAAAGCCACAAGAACTTAACAGAAAATTAAATATTCTGTTCATACAAAAGTTTATAGCATTTTTCAAGGGGTAGCATTTTGAGATGGGGGTTAACAAAAATCTTTTGTGTATGTATATATATATATATATATATATATACACACACACATAAATATAGATAACTAGACTCGTTTCGAAAAACCCTTGAATTTTTGATTTGCTAATAATCAAATCAATCTCGAGGGAAAAAAAGAAAGAGCTACAAACATTACTTTCCCTGACGATCCATTTAGGTGAAACCTAGGTAGGGTTGTCTGGCTCACTAGGTGTATCTATATATATATATATATATATATATATATATATAATCATACTTATTATAAAACCCAGGTTGTGTGTGCGTGTGTGTCTGTACGTTTATATATTGGATCGGATTTCCTGCATTTTTCAACTGATTTCAACAAAACTTCACAGGACTACGTAAAATTACGTAAAAATTGGAAAAACAATTGTTTTTGCACAAAATCAATTTGAAAACATGATTAAGAGGCATCATGAGAATGAAAGGGGGACAAGTCATATTGAGTTATACTTATAAAACCTAGGTTGTTTGTGTGTGTGTGTTCATTTATATATGGGATTGGATTTCCTACATTTTTCAACTGATTTCAACAAAACTTCACTTTTTTTTTAGCAGGTAGTGTTTCTTATTGTCTTGCACACTTTTTTCTTTATTTTTACATTCAGAATGTTTTAAAAATTCCATTTACAAGACAATTGTTTATAATAAAATTCTATTCAATTGATAGACAATGTTTTTGTTTGAGTTTGACCAATTCGTAAAAAAAATCCCAAAAAACAAAAAAAAACTAAGACATGCGTGTCCGTCAACCTTAAACAATAATCTTTGTCAATTTTATTTTTCAGTCTTTTTGATGGTCAATACTTGATCTATCTTTTACTGTTACATCCCCGGGCTCTACTGCTTATATATATATATATATATATATACATATATATATATATATAAAAAACGTGTGTGTGTGACATTTCTACACATCTTTCTACATGACTTGTATGTAGATTATGAATTTTAAATTGTGTATTTTCCAGCTGACAAGATGCTGCAGCTTGGAAGATGCAACCTAATATTGGAAAGAAATTTCTAAGAAAAAAAGAAAGTCATTCTCTTACAAACGATACATTCACCATGCGTCTCTCACATACAGGTGCCATGTATTGTTTATATTAATCACTCGTCCGATTTTGTTCGTAAAGCAATGACATACTAGTCAAGAGAAGAAAGGCTCCAGCCGCTGCTAGTAAACAGCATGTTTAAGCTTGTGGCTCAGCTCCAAGAAGGTTTATAGTCTTGGAAATACTTGAAAAGTACTCAGATTATATCATATAAAAGGATAAATTAGATAGATAGCTAACATTATAATGTAATGAGTCAACATGCATATCCATGTCCCTATCAATCAAGTCAGTTTGGTGACCGTCCAAGTTTACTTGAGCCTGGGTGTTGCCTTACATTTGTCTTGGAAGATGCATTCGTATTTTTCAGGAAAAAAGTGTCTTGTAAGACAGAAAATAATTTTGAAATATATTTTGTGTTAAAAGAGAAAATGGTGATAAGTGAGATGTATTTTCCGTCATTTGAAGCAATTTTATTTCTGGAAAGTAAAATCTGTGTATAAACAGCAAAAAAGATATGTGCCATTTATGGAGAAGGTGCCATAGCTGAGAGTACTGTTTGTAAGTGATTCGCTAAGTTCAGAAGTCAAAATTTTGATGTGGAAGACTTAGACTGTTCCAACAGGCTTGCAGTTACCAAAAATAATCTAGGACACAGGACATTGCAGAGACACGCTGCATATCTCTCATGAACATTGGAAGACATTTGCTTGGATACATGAAATTCTGTGATGTTTGGGTACCTTTTGATTTATCGGAAAAAGATTTCATTGACCACATTTGCATTTGTGATTCTATGCTCAAAAAACAACAAAAAATTACCCATTTTTGGAAAGAACAATCAGAGGTGATGAAAAATGGATAGCTTACAACAATATTGAGTACAAAGGTTCTGGAGAAAACAAATTTAATTAAATATTTTTAGCTTGCCACTGAATGAACAAAATATGTAAAAGTTAATGTCTAAGTCAATATTAACAGTTCAATCCCAACAATGGGTAGCTAGAAGCCTTTAAAATATTTTACATCATATTGGGTTGTCGGCTGATAAATAAAGATGCTAAAAGCATGCATCTGATGTCATCAATGTTATGGAACAGTTGATTGAATGGTTGGTTCAACTTAGTCAAAAGGCTAATATGTAATAAATATTATCAATCTTAGTGTCAATATTATCATTTTGTTGGCATTTTAGTTCTCAAATTTCATTAACTGTCCTATTAAATCTACTTATAAGCACACATGAACCAACACAAATTAATATATATATATATATATATATATAATATACATATATATTTATATATACATATATATATATATATATATATATATATATATATATATATATATATATATATATATATATACACACATATATATATATATGTATATATATATATATATATATATATACACACATATTTTATATATTTAATTAAAGTTATTATTTTGTTATTTTAGATACAAGTATTTAAGCAAATGCTCTGTTTATGATAAACAGTATTAAATAACATTTACCGGCCTGAATGTCCGAGAAATTTTCATAGAAAATATTCGTTCTTTGACAGGATTCGAACGTAATCTGGCGTATCGAATGTAAACAAATGACGTCATATATTAAGAAATGGACAATTTGTTTATGATAAACAGTATTAAATAACTGCTCTGGCGTATCGAATGTAAACAAACAGAACAGTTATGAATGTACGAGATCATGGAAAATTGGAGTTTATAAGCAGTAAATTCGACCTTGTCTGTCGAACGCTTTTTGTAGCCTAAGCGGTAAGGCACGTCAGCGTATATGACGGTTCCATTATAGGATGCAGGTTCAATCCTGTCAAAGAACGAATATTTTCTATGAAAATTTCTCGACATTCAGGCGGTAAATGTTATTTAATACTGTTTATCATAAACAGAGCATTTGCTTAAATACTTGTATCTATAAAATAACAACGTTAAACATAAAATATGTCTTTAATAAATAAACTGTCGGACCTTGTCCATTTCTTAGTATATATATATATATATATATATATATATATATATATATATATATATATTTATTTATTCCAACAGTTTCTTATCTTGCATTTCCTCTTGCTTGCTTCCCTGATAGCTATAATCTTCAAATATTCAAAGTCAGAACCATTACATTCACTTACGTGCTAATACCCTTGGGAAAGGTATGAATCCTCCTCTTCTCCCCCCAGCTATGGATAAATAGCAGAACAGACTGGGTTCTAAAGCCTTAAATATATATTTCTGAAATGTTATTTAATTGAAAGGAGGCAAGGAGATGCATCGGAAAGCCGAGTTCGAATTCCACTCAATTCTCAAGCTAATACGCTTGGGAAAGGTATGAATCCTATCCTTTTCCCCCCCAGCTATGGGTAAATAGCAGGAGAGATTGGGTTCTATAGCCTTGGATGGCAACTGGTCTACTGCAGAAAGAAATGACAACCTACTGTGGGGGAAAAAAAAATCTGCCTTGTAAGACATGTATCGAAAGATACATGATCACCTAAGCATGTATCACGCATGGCACATAACTGACTGTCAATAAACATCTTCTGATGCCTTGATCTTTTTCTCTATGCTTCGCTTTATCCTTTCCTCAAACACCTCTCTTTACTCTTGCTCTCACTCTGTAATGCGTTGGGTGCTAGTAGCACTCGAACCTTGCATAGGGCGAAATACTTAAAAAAAAACAAATATATAATATAATGCATTTGTATCAGTTTGGTTGCTGTAAACAAACTGAAATTGGCTGCTGCTTTGTCACTGTATGGAGTGACATCACTAAGTGACTGTCACCTGACCTATGTGGCTAACTACACCAAAGTGAGATAATCACCTTCTGTATACACCCACACATTTTGATATTATATCAAAACATGTCAAGATCGCTACACAATTGCAGTCATGTTTCAATGCGTATCAATTACTGCTAAATGAATGATTTATTTAGATTTCAAAAAGAAAAAAGCAGAAATTTACAATTGCCTGATGAGATGCATTGAAACATGACTGCAATTGTGTAGCAATTTTGACGTTTTCAATGTACTATCCTAAAATAAATAATATTTATATTGAGTTCCTTCGTTGAATTGTTCTCATCTTAACAGTACATATATATATATATATATATATATATATATATATATATATATATACCTGACCCTGTTCACTTATATATATGTGTGTGTGTATATATATATATATATATATATATATATATATATATAATGGACTCTCTCATCGGTTTCAACATATGAGGATCTGACAGCTTATTGATTCAGCTATGAAATTTTGTGCAATAAAACATATATATATATATATATATATATATATATATATATATATGTGACATACACACACATACACACATATATATATATATATATATATATATATATATATATATATATATATATATATATATGCCACCACTTGTTGATCATGATAAGCATAAGATATCACTGTCAGATTTTGTTGCACTTTGAACGGTTGCAGCTCCTTATGTTACATCAAATTTTAAAATGTCTGTCAAGCTTTCATTGGTTATGATTGCTTTTTTTTTTCAGCTACAGCCAGCCAATCAACATCCAAAAGGAGCGTACGATATGAAACAATGCCTGTGCCTGAATTCTTTAACCTTTGGTTTTGTTGTTTTTATTTAGCAGCATATCAACACATCTATGGGTTATTTTATGTACATATGAAAATTCAAACTTTATAATTAATTCAAGAGAATGATATTATTTCATGATTAA